CGGGAGGAGAAGAACAGCGCCCTGGATCCGTGAACCGTTTACACACAGTTAAAAGTTTTAAAGTTACTCTTCGCCAATCTGAAAAGCACCTGCTGAAAACCAGCTCGCTGCCTGGACTCTACTAGGAAAAGGCATGGGTAGTCTTGGGCTGGCGGAGCGGTTCTGTCCCGCCGAGATGACACCGGATAACTCCCAAAACTTCCAGAAAATAGAGTTTAGGTTCTATGGAGAGAAGTCAGACTGAAGGTGCTGGTGAGCAGATAAACCAACCATGCCAAAGTTCACCACCACGCACGAGAGAAAAGGCTGCAGAAAAGCCCCACGGCGTGCTGCGCGAGAAAGCTCCAGGCACCGCGCTGCTCGAGGCACGAGCGCAGCACCCAGCCAGAACGTTATTGCAACCGGGAAACGACAGCAGATGGCAGGAGACACAGGCTCAAACAGGGAAAAAACGTAATTTCTTAGTCCTGCCAAGGAAAAAAAAATCCCTAAGGAACAGAAAACCAGGGTGCTTAAATCCTCAGAGCTCGAACAGAACAAAACCAAGTGGCAGGAATACTGGTGTGATCTCACTGCTAGGCAGAGCTCAGGTGCCATCCCCGAAAAAACCTCAGATTCCTTGAGCGACCCGGGAAAAAAGACTTTACTGTGGCAACAATACGGTCCAACGTGTGGCCTGAAAACTCTTCTCGCTCGGCCCTTCGCCCGAGCGAAGGCTGCGACAGATCCGGCCCCGCCGCAGGGTTGCGGGGGCCGTCGGGCACGGCCGTGCTGGTCCCAGGTGTAGCGCGGGACTTGGGCACCACCGCAGCACCAAGGGCAGGACGCTGGTGACTTCACCACGCTCAGACCTCACGGATCCCACGCCCCGGCTTCCCTCATGATGTTTTGGCCCCCAGAGATCCGCAGACCTAAAGGACGGCGTTCCTGCCTCAAAGAACAGCAGCAGATCGCGCTGGGGCCTGGGGTTTCTCCTCCGCCCTGAGGGACACGTGAGGCTTTGTGCTTCGGCTGGTGGAGCTGACGGAAAGGGAAACTCGGAAGGGCTGCAGCGCTGAAGGAGAAGAACTGTTTTCTGCTGAGCTGGTTTGCTGCCCGTGAGAGCTGGGGGCAGCTCGGTTACCCCGGAGCTGAACCAGGTACTTCCCTGCCCTGGGGAGTACCTGCTCCTGGTGACCCGAGGGGACTGCTGGAGGGAACTGAGCCAAAAGGGCCCATTTCCAAACCCTCAGTCAACACCACTGTGAAGGAACCGGCCCCACGCCTCAGCCTCGGGCCTCTTGCTCCCCCTTGCCGCCTCCCGCCGCCTCCCGCCGCGGTGCCTGGCACAGCACAGGTGACGACGGCCCAGCGCTGCCCTTTCACGGCTGATCCAGGCGTGGATCTGCTGGGAAGTCCCTTTCTGTGCCCGCTGAAAACAGGCCTGGCAGGATACAGGCTGACTTCCCGGCTGGGTTCGTGCCTTGCCACGCGCTGGGAATGCTGCACGCAGAGGGGCGAGAGGAGGGGCCGCGGGACTGACCCTCTGACAGCAGCTTGGGGGCTCTGCCGGCCTCTCTGCGAACGGAGACAGAAACATCCCACAAGCAACACCAAAGCCCCGGGGTTTCGGAACGTGTTGTGTAGCTGCCACTTCTCCAGGGATCATCGCCCTCGTGCCTGGGAGGAACCCCCGTTCTCCCGAGTGCCGTGCAGAGGCACCAGCCCCCACTGGAAGGATCTTTCCGCTGCACCGAGGAAGAAATGAGGTTCCCAAGGGAGGGTCCAGGCAGATCAATGCGGGATCGGTCTGGCTTGTTAACCCACTTCAGGTAGCACAGGAGAGAGGGGAGACAAAACCTGAGAGATGGCACCATGTGAACGACGGAGACCCGGCAGAGGCGCACCCGCAGGGGCCAGGATTTAGTGTGAAGTCCCGCTGGAAGAGGCAGGACGTGTTGAACAGAGCAGGTAGTGTTTTTCCACCCTCAGATGAAGCAATACTCTGAAAAGCTCGACTAAGGTCGAGGAAAAGGGAAAGAAGTGCAGCCCCCAGCAGCCCCTGTGGAGCTTTTCCATGTATTAGCCAAGTGCCTAAGCAAGGCCCCTGGGAGCAGTGAACCGCCACCACTGATGGCATCCCCAAACCCCTCCGTCCCCCCCGCTCCCAAGTCGGTGATGGTTTGCTTCCTGAAAAAACATCGTCCCTTTCTTTTTGCCCGCAGGGGCGGAGGACAGGAACGTGGGAAGACACGATGCAAGACAAGACTTTCCAAGACAAGCCGAGGGATATGGAAGTGAAAGAGCGGAAAGGAGCAGCTCATTTGAACAGAACCAACCAGTCGCCTTTCCAAGACCCACCCGCTTCATCTCGGGCATCAGGGTTTGCGAACAACAAGGCGGCACGTTCCTACGTGACTGGCATGTGGCAGCGGGTCTGCTAGAGGGTACGAGAATTGGCAGCCTACAACCCCAAGCCAGGGTCTTCAAGAGGAAAGGACACTGCTGAGGGGGACATCAGCAGACCCTACAGCTCAAGCACATGAGCTCTCGGGGTAACCAAGCGCGCAGCACGCAGTAGGAACCAAGGAAAGCCAAACTCTCCTGCCCGCAAACCACACATGATTTTCCTTCCTTGTTGATCGGAGAAATCCAAGCGGGACCCAGTGATGAATCAAAAAGAGAAGTTATCTTTACCACAAGAAAAATGTTTTCAAAGTAAGGAGGCTTCTTCTTAAAGGACTGTGGTAGCCTCAAGAGTGAGAAATCTAGAGGGACGAGGCTGTGGTTTGAACAGGTTCCTTGGCATGCCCGAGGGGCAGAAGCCTAGAACAAAGCGTCCCTAGGAGCACAGAATTTCTTCTGTTCTGAAACCAAGAGACATCAGGGGCTCCAAGGATAAGTCTTCTACCAAGAGCACCCTTCCGCAGGTACCTGGATTTTTCACATTTCTAGAACGATGTCAGAAATGACAGAGGCGGCCAACGAAAATCAACAGCCTTTCAGCTTCCAGCGTAAACAACCCACGTCTTCCTGAAGGGCTTGAGGGTGCTGGTCTGCTGCCGCAGCAGCGGTCGGAAGGGACTCTGCAGCCTGCCGCAGGCCCGGGGCTAGACCCAGAACAGCCTCCTTCACGGGCCCTGGGGGAACGGGAGCAACACAGCGAACAATTTGTGGACCTTGTGCCCGTACCGTTTCAAGAAAAGTTCTAAGCTGGTGACCACAACTTTCAGGAAGCGACAGTAAAAGGCACAAGTGGTGCCTCCACTGGGAAATGCCTGGCATTGTACGAAGAGGACCTGCCCTGGATGAGTGCCTCCCCTCCAAAGCAGGGGAGAGGGATGGGCAGCTCTGGGAAGCTCAAGACTTCTACACCTCGAAGGAGTAAGTTTGTCCTCTGCCTTCCTTGGGTTTATCCTGATGGCTGGTTAGCAGGGAGTAACGAGAACGGCCACAAGAACAACACGCTCCGGGATCGACACCCATCAGGAATCCCCAGCAGCACTCGGAGCCTCGTCTTGCACGCTGCGGTGGAGGGATCCACACATGCAGCTTCCCAAAGAAAAAAGTCCCTTTCAGGAGCAACTCCCAGCAGGTCGCACTAGGGCAAGGCCTCCGGCAGTGAGACATGAGCTGGGAGGGACGCGGACAGACCCGGCGAAGGGCGCGTGGCCACCCGGCGCTGCCGCTCGCTGCTGGGAAGGGAACAGCGCCAGCTGAACTCACCCAGGACGGAGCTGCTGTAGAAGTCCCACGCTGTTCGAGGGTCTCCATCCGAGCGCCCCTGGAGATCCGAAAGGTAATCTGAAGAGAAAGAATCGAGAGGGTCAATGCTTATCTACCGGGCCAAGCATGATCCTGGCACGCGTAGCCGTCGATCCGGGGGGAGCCACTTCACCGCTGCGGGCAGGCGGTACGGCAAGAGCTGAACCACAACCTGTGAGAAGGGTCCCCTCGCTCAGGAGAGGACAGCATGACCCCAGGCCTGAGGACATGAAATAGCAGCTGAAAAGGGAAAGCAACTGAGTGGGTTGGAAAGAAAAGTTCTTCGGGTTGTCTTGAGTTCCAACCAACACCACCTGCACGAGCAGCTACGCCCGGAGGAGCTCAGGCAGACAGAGCTGGCAAATGAGATTTTTTCAGCACTGGAGACTTTCTGCCTTGTGTCTACCTGGGAACCACCGCTACTCCAGCCGCCTCTTCCCTGCTGTTGCGTAGAAGCCACAACCCTCACCTTGCTTCTACGCCAACGGCACAGAAAGCGGCACGTTTCACTCGGCCAGAGGGACCCAAAAGGGTCCTTTCTAGCAACAGCAAGCAGGCAGCTGCTGGGCAGAGCCGTTTTCGAGTAGAAGGCACCATTACTGGGCAGCAAAACCCTGTTCACTCGGGCTATGCAGCAGAACCAGGAACTGTGGAACAGCGTCTCCAGGCCTTGTGCACAGCGCTGTCTCCAGTTGTGCGACCGCAGCGTCGCCATCGTGTGCGCTGAAGACTGAGAAGTGACTTTTATCTGGTTTGGAGAAGAGTATGCAGTCCTGGATGGAAAGTTTGGGTGGCAGAGAGGCACACGTGTGACAAGACAGAGCAACAATTCTTGAGTCACCTGCTGCTCAAGCACTTCCCAACCCTTGGACGCCCAGATGGCTGCCAGACAGGACGGATGGAAGCACTGCCGCCCCCGGCCTCAGCACCTACCGCAGAGGAAGCGCTTCATCACTTCGCTGGTGGCGAGCTTCACGGCTGTCTGCCCAGAGTAAGTGGCCAGAGTGGGATCAGCACCATAGGAGAGTAGAAGCCACATGGTTTCCAGGTTGTCATTTGCTACTGCGTCGTGGACCGGCCTGCAAGGACAGAAGCAGTGGCAGAAAAAGAAGAGGCTGGACGAGTTCGCAAAGCAAACGCTCTGGTTCGGGTGAAGGCAAGCCTAGTGACGACCGGCAGCTCATCCCCGGCTCCCTGCCCCAGCGCTCCCCAGCGCTCCCCCTCTCGCTGGCCTTGCCTCGTGCCGTCCTGCGCGCTGCAGTTCACGTTGGCGCCGTGCTCCAGCAGGATGTGGAGGATGTCGATCCAGCCCCGCGCGCAGGCTTCGTGCAGAGCCGTGTAGCCGGCGTTGTCTCGATGGTTCACGTCGCTGCTCTTCTTCTGCAGGCAGTAGAGCACCACGTCCTACAGGAACGAGAGCGCGGCAGCCCTGGTGACACACGGCCCCCCCCCCCCCCATCAGCGCGGGACACGGAGCAGAAAAGGGCGCCCGAGCTCACCTTGTAGCCCAGGCGAGCTGCTCGCTGCAGGAGGGTCTCCCCTGCGTTTTTGTTCACGATCAGCCGCCGAGCTCCAGGAGGAATGTTCTGAGCCATGGGCAAGTCGGGGGAGCTCCCTGGGCTGACCCGACGGGACTTACAAAGCGTCCACAAGTCCTGGGGCTTCTTCAGGGAGCGCATTTTGGGCTGGTTCCAGCAGCCTTTCCCCTGGAAAAAGAAAGGAATACACACGTGGCCACGGCTTACTAAGAGGATGCCCCTTCTCTCACTTCTCCCCCGCCCTGCGTTGCCCTCACGAGTCCGAGCCCTACCTTCCCCTCGTCACAGATCCCTGCCAGGTGTTTGGTTTTACATTTGCGTTTTCCTGATGGTTTCTCCAGCTCTTCTTGGACAGGAGAGCTGTCGGAGTGCTCCAGGAAGAAGCCATTCCGAAAGTCTGGGCGTCCTTGAGATTTTCGGGGGGATGGGGAAAGCCTGCTCCTCAGCCGTAGCTCTGTGCCTTTACCCTTCACAGACTCCTTCTGCTTCCGGTACCTAAAATCTGGAGGAGAAACGGGGGTGAGGAGCTTCTGTAGGCACCGCCCTGCCTCCAGGCGAAACAAACCGCCCGTCTTTGATGGCTGCACGTCCAGGACGGAGTGGAAGCGGAGAAAGGCAACAAAACCAACCGAGGGGCAGAGAAGCTGCTGCCCTACAAGAGAGGCTGGGACTCCTCAGTCTGGAGGGGAGAAGGCGGAGAAGGATGTGGCCAAAATTTGCAAAAATCCTAAAAGCGGGGGGATCAGCTGAGGGGAGGAATCTTCTTCACCCAAACCTGCGGCACAAGACGTGTGGGCACTCGGTGAACCGAGTGAGGGATCCGTTACAAACCAGACGGGAGAAAGGCCTTTGCACAGCACAGAGGGAACTTCAGGGCTTCGCTGCCACCGGAGGTGGCGGAGGCAGATGTTACCAGCGGGACCAGAAAGGATTTAGGCAAATTCACGGACAACGGACCCACAAACGAGCCGTGGAAGGCCCCGGCAGGTCCAGCCCGAGTTCAGCTGGGTGCCGGGGAAGCCCAGGCGGCTGCAGCCCAGCCTCTGCGCTGGCCCCCACCAGGAGGGAGCTGCGGGCAGACAGACCCTGGCAGGGCGCAGCGCGCTGGGCGCACTGGGGCAAGGGACAGGGACTTCTCCTGGCTCCGAACAAAGCGGAGCGCGCCCACGAGGCACGCTCTGGGGCGGCAGCTCCGGCTTCCCGCCGGGCAGAAGATGGTATTTGTTTTTAAGCTCACGCACAGCTCTCGGACTGTAATGAAGCGACGCTTTAGCGGCAACACTTGTCAAGGAGGCAGCACGCAGCCCTCGCTAGCCTGCTCGCTGGTTTGGAAGCGACCACCGGAGGGAGGTTTCTGCTGGGCTGTCTGTGACACCGTCCTCATCCTCTTTACAGCCCTGCCACACTTCCACCACTAACCCAGGGCAGCGTACAAGGACTTGGGACGCTCCTTCTCTGATACCCGGTTCCTTCTGCCAAGGTGCAGGGGCCCTGGGGGCTAGAGCAAAGCCCATCGCTGCAGTGTTAAATACACCTCGCTTCGCATGTCCGTGCCAGGGAACACCTTCCCAGCCAGGATCGGCTCCCTCAGGCTGTGGAGGAGACGGGGAGGAAACGGCACAAACCTCAGAGGAGCTGGAACGCGGTGAGGAAGAGCCAAGCCTGACCGGCACGTGAAGAGAAAGGGGAAAGGTGCTGACAGGTCAGACAACACCTAGCGAACCGGACGGTCTGTGCCGGCAAGCGGCAGACGCCGGCAGCCCCTGCACACCCAGCGGGAGGAAAACACAGCGACTCCGGACGACAGAGGGCGGGTGGCCAGCGGCTCCCTCTAGCCCAGAGCTCCAGCACGTGGCTCTGGCAGGGATCCGCATCTGTTGTCGCTCTCTTCAGCACCCAAAGCAGGCAGAGGAACACCAGGGCGTGCACCTCGAGCGCCTGGGCTAACCCCTCTGCCGGAGGGCGTTGGCCAGCGGGTCGCTGCCGCTC